TGTGATGGGCCTGCCACATCAACTCTCGGAGGAGGGGGAACCTCAGCTACCTCAGCATCAACATCATCATCATCAGTCGAATCATCATCAGAGTCATCAACATTCACCACAGGCTCTCATCCAATTCCAATTTTTCTTTCCCGAAATGGGGCTTTTAGTGGCAATCTCCCATCAACTGGGGAGTCTTCAGGGGCTCGAGCATTACAGCACAGCCGGGTGATCAACGAAGGGAAGTAGTGGCCCTTGGTTAGCTCAGGTGATCGAATGAACATTTCTTCATGGATGAGCCGGGCCACATCAAAGTCACTATGGGACATAAAACAATGGATTTCTGACGCCCATGGTAGATTAATATCTGTCGTGTTGCTGGATGACAACAATCGACTGTTGACAATGGTGAGCCAACACTTGGCCTCCCAATTAAGACAATGGGAGTTGAGAGTAATCATGTGCTTGATCCATAGGTGTTCTCCGTCCGACCTATAGATAGTATCAAGAAGAGTGGCCCACAAGGCCCCTGTTCTACTAAAAGTACGATAAGGATTAAATTCACCTCGAAACACAGGCAGCCTATATACCCTGCGGATGGCGTCAAGGGATGCATTTACCGGGGTATTGCGCACCATCACAACCCCATTCTCATGTTTTGGCAGGTTTGCATAGAACTCCCTTACTAATTGAACATTAGCCTCCTCCGGTACCTAGAAGAGGATGTCCAGCTGACACCGCTGCAACTCATTCAACATATTGAGGCATTTCACCTCCAAATCCATTCGATCAATGTGTACCTCTAGTTGTAACTTCTTAGCTGCTTTCTGGTTGCACCTATTCTCCGCTGCGCTGGAGACAAACCGAGTGCTATCGAACTGAGGTGCACTGGCTTGGCTCCTAGATCGTGAGGAGCTTCCCGGTCCACTGATGGAGGGTCCGGTGTTTCGTCTCTTCCTGGAGGAGCTCATTGTACCTGTCATACAACGAAACGTCTATTAGTGAGTGCACAAAATATGTGACTATGGATTGTTACTCAGACTTCACCAAACCCATGTCATAATAGCTCCTTATATCCCCATTGGGGAAATTTCCTAAACACCTTGTGAGCAAGGCACTATCCAGACACATCTAGCCCTCATGGGTACATCCAAGCTCTTCCCCAATCAAGTATACAACCACACCAACACACCCCACACTTACTTCATGCAATCACCCACCAATAACACCGTTCAAACATGCAATTCACAGCCCCTTCACCAAGCAAACTTAAAAATGAAATGGAAAGGCAAAAACAAGAAGAAAAGGAGTATACCAACAATCACATCTCAACACAACATAAAATTACATAAACTACAACACAATACAACACAATGCCAAAGAAAAGAGAGAGAAGAGTTAGAACCTTACCTTAAGGAGGAAAAGAGGAGAGGAATTAGAGATGGGGGTGGTGTGATTGAAGGAGGAGAAGAAGAAGAAGAAGAAGAGAGGAATTGGGGAGGTTAGGGTTTATAGAGAGAGAGAAATTGGGAATATGGGGGAGGGGGTCGTGTTTTGGGTTTAAGAGGGGAGGGGTTTTGGGTTGTAAAATTAAAAGAGGAAGAAAAGAATTAAGAAACACGAAAAAAAATAAAAAAAATAAAATTACCTGGACCGACCACGGTCGACCATGGTCCACCGTGGCCGCGGTGGGTTTCAAGAACTGAGGCAGAAAGTTTACGCCTCACCGCGGTTTACCGCGATCGCGGTGGGATGGAAAATTCGAGGCAGAATGTTTGCCTTCCACCGCGGTGCTGTTTTTTTTAAGTTACATGAACAGCCAATCAACACACTCGTGGGTTGCCTCCCACGCAACACCTGATTTAACGTCGCGGCACGACGCAAGCATTTGATCATCACTCCTCATCCGCGTAATGGGGCTCTCCCAACGTGATTACCACTCTATTCCCTTTTTTATCAGACATGCCAAGGTAATGTTTCAACCTTTGCCCATTTACTGTGAACTTGTTTGTCCTATCTTCTGATTCAATCTCTACAGCTCCACTTAAGAACAATTGCACCACTCTGAAGGGTCCTGACCATCGGGACTTTAACTTACCTGGGAACAATCTCAATCTCGAGTTGTATAACAACACTCGATCTCCGGGTTTGAAGTTTCGATCCAAGATGTGCTTATCATGCATTAATTTCATCCTTTCTTTGTATAACCTAGCACTCTCAAAGGCCTAGAACCTGAATTCCTCGATCTCATGTAATCCCATGACTTTGTTAGTGCCTGTTGTCTCTATGTCTAAGTTCAACTGCCGTAATGCCCAAAGTGTTTTATGCTCTAGCTCAACTGGGAGGTGGCATGCCTTACCAAACACCAACTTGTACGGTGACATCCCAATTGGGGTTTTGAAAGCTGTGCGGTATGCCCACAATGCATCATCCAATTTCCTTGCCCAGTCAGTCCTTGTTGCATTCACTATTTTTGTGAGGACACTTTTAATCTCCCTGTTGGACACTTCAACTTGTTCGCTCGATTGTGGGTAGTACGGGGTAGTCACTTTATGACGAACTCTATATTTTCCCAATAGCCGTGCGAATGCTCTATTGCAGAAATGGGTTCTGCCATCACTGAGTATAGCTCTTGGGGTACCACAACGCATGAAAATGTTCTTCTTCAGAAAGCCTAGTACCCCCTTAGCATCATTGGTCGGGAGAGCCACTGCTTCGACCCACTTGGAGACATAGTCAACTGCTACCAATATGTACTTGTTACCATACGAGCTGACGAATGGCCCCATGAAGTCAATCCCCCACATGTCAAAAATCTCCACCTCTTGAATTGTGGTCATTGGCATCTCGTATCTACGAGATATGTTGCCAGTTCTTTGACATTCATCGCAGCTTTTAACCCAAGCATGGGCATCCTTGAACAGAGTAGGACAGTACAAGCCTGACTCCAACACCTTAGCTACTGTCCGACTCCCTCCAAAGTGTCCACCATATGGTGAAGCATGGCAAGCCTACAAAACAGAATGTTGATCTTTCTCGGGGATACACCGCCGGATCATGTTATCTACACATATTTTAAACAATAGAGGTTCATCCCAATAATAATATCGACAATCACGAGAGAACTTTTTCTTTTGAACTGAGGAGAGCTCATAAGGTACAATACCACTTGCTAAATAATTAGCAATATCAGCATACCAAGGTGCCTCATCTATTGTCATTGCCAGTAATTGTTTATCCGGGAATGTCTCTGTTATATCCTCAACCTCTACCTTCTTTCCAGCTCCTTCCAACCTTGAAAGGTGGTCAGCTACTTGGTTCTCTGTCCCTTTTCGATCACGTATTTCCAGATCAAATTCTTGTAACAGAAGAACCCAGCGAATCAAGGGAGGCTTTGACTCCTTCTTTTCTATTAGGTATCTAATTGCTGCATGGTCAGTGTAAACAATAACTTTCAAGCCAATCAAATATGACCTGAATTTATCGAATGCAATAACAACAGCCAACATCTCCTTTTCCATCACAGTGTAATTGAGTTATGCACCGCTTAGCGTTCTGCTTGCATAATAAATCGGGTGCATCAGTTTAACCTGTCGCTGCCCCAAGACTGCTCTTATGGCGTAGTCACTTGCATCACACATGAGATCAAATTCTTGTAACAGAAGAACCCAGCGAATCAAGGGAGGCTTTGACTCCTTCTTTTCTATTAGGTATCTAATTGCTGCATGGTCAGTGTAAACAATAACTTTCAAGCCAATCAAATATGACCTGAATTTATCGAATGCAAAAACAACAGCCAACATCTCCTTTTCCATCACAGTGTAATTGAGTTGTGCACCGCTTAGCGTTCTGCTTGCATAATAAATCGGGTGCATCAGTTTAACCTGTCGCTGCCCCAAGACTGCTCTTATGGCGTAGTCACTTGCGTCACACATGAGCTCAAATGGTTGCTCCCAGTTGGGTGCAACAATGATGGGTGCAGTCACCAATCTCTTCTTCAGTTCCTTAAATGCCAACCTACATTCATTAGAAAACACAAAAGGGTGATCCTTTTCAAGGAGTTTGCATAATGGGTTAGCAATTTTGGAGAAATCTTTGATGAATCGCCTGTAGAACCCGGCGTGCCCAAGGAAACATCTCACCGCCTTGACCGAAGTGGGCGGTGGTAGTTTTTCAATCACGTCAACCTTGGCATGGTCGACCTCAATTCTTTTACTGGACACTCGATGTCCCAGGACTATCCCTTCCTGTACCATAAAATGGCACTTTTCCCAGTTCAACACTAAATTTGTCTCCACATATCTTTTGAGCACTCTTCTTAAGTTGTGAAGACAATCCTCGAATGAATCTCCCACCATGGAGAAATCATCCATAAAGACCTCCATAATATCCTCCACCATGTCTGTGAAAATGGCTAACATGCACCATTGAAATGTCGTCGGTGCATTACAAAGCCCAAAAGGCATTCTCCGAAAGGCGAAGATGCCATATGGACAAGTGAAGGATGTTTTCTCTCTATATTCGGGGGCTATTGATATCTGATTGTACCCCGAATAACCATCCAAGAAATAGAAGTGTGAGCGCCCGGCCAACCAGTCCAACATTTGGTCAATGAAAGGCAAGAGGAAGTGGTCCTTCTGGGTGGCTGTGTTCAATTTTTGGTAATCCATGCAAATCCGCCATCCCGTGACTGTACGAGTTGAGATCAACTTATTGTTCTCGTTTTGCACAACAGTCATTCCCCCCTTTTTCGGCACACATTGGATAGGGCTGACCCAATTGCTATCAGAGATGGGGAAGATGATTCATGCATCTAACCATTTGATCATTTCCTTCTTTACTACCTCCTTTATGTTCGGGTTCAGCCTTCATTGATGTTCTCTGGAAGGTTTGTGCCCTTCTTCCAAGAGAATCTTGTGCATACAGAAGGCTAGGCTGATACCCTTTATGTTTGCCATGGTCCAGCCAATGGTAGTCTTGCTTTCCTACAGTACCTGTAAGAGCTGTTCTACCTACACATCTAACAAATCGGATGATATAATAACAGGAAACGTAGAATCAGGGCCTAAGAAAATGTACCTGAGGTGAGCTGGGAGTGGCTTTAGCTCCAACTTGGGTGGTTCATCTACCGATGGTTTTGCTAGAGGTGTAGCCCTTTTTTCTAACTCAAGGGACTCGAACTGAGGTTCCCTTTTCCAAAATCCTTGGCCTTCAAGTGCCATGACCCACTCAGCCAACCCTTCACCATCCATTTCTTCTAAATTTATCAGACATGCCTCTAATGGATCTTTAGTAGTCAGGGTCACATCCTCTTCTTGCAGGATCACCTCCACTGCCTCCACCAGAGAGCAATTCACATATTCACTGGGTCTCCTCATAGATTGCTGAACATTGAATATGACTTCTTCATCGTTCAGTCTCATTTTTAATTCCATAGTCTCACAATCGATCAGGGCTCTCCCAGTGGACAAAAATGGCCTACCTAAAATGATAGGTATCTCCTCATCTACCTGACAATCCAGAATAACAAAGTCTACAGGGAACACAAACTTCCCCACTTTCACCAATACATCATCAAGAATCCTAGTAGGTCTTTTAACCGTGCGGACAGCCAGCTGCAGCAGCATCAAAGTCGGTCTAGCTCTGCCAATGCCCAGTTTGGTGTATACAGCCAGAGACATCAAATTTATGCTGGCTCCCAAATCACATAATGCCTTTGAAAAGGTGTAAGTCCCAATCGTGCACGGAATAGTGAAGCTACCTGGGTCGGACATCTTTTGAGCCATCGGTCTGGTCACTACTGTGTTGCAGGTCTGCGTCAGAGTTATTGTGGATAGATCATGAAAATCAAACTTCCATGACATTAGGTCTTTTATCATCTTTGCATAACCTGGCATCTCCCTCAAGGCATCCATCAAAGGAATATTCAACTGAATTTGACGCAGCATCTCCATTCTTGTATTGATCTTCCTTCTTTTATTTTACCAGTCTTTGAGGGAATAGCGTAGGTATCACCCTTTGTGCACTGCTTGCTGGCTTCTTTCTGTTGGGGTTCTGTGACACAAGAGACACCACCTGTTCTGTAGCTTGTTCATTTACCTTAGCCTTACCCTTTTCATCTTGACCCTGTTCAACTACCACTTCAGTCAGATTTGTTGGTTCATCTACCTCTAGTAGAATTGGAGTGGCTGGTGTAGTCTCCTTGCTAGCTTGTGCAACCTCCTGCTCTTTGTCTAGATCTCTCCCATTCTGAAGACTTACTACCATTAGCTGATTCGGGTTTTGCTCCTTGGGGTTAATATTTGTATCCGCTGGATGTCCCCTGGGGGTGATTGTTTAAAGCCATAGACAACTGCCCCAACTGCATTTCAATGTTCTTTATAGATGAATCATATACTACCAACTTTTCTTGCATCTTACCATTTGTCCCAATGAGTTGTTGGAGCATCCACCTGATCTCCACCATGTTGTTATCTTGCTGCTGAGGAGGTGGCTGATATGTCAACTGTTGCTGGTTCTGCTGTGGGTAGCCTTGCTGTCTCTGGTGGTATGACACCATTTGGCCTTGACCTTGCATGCCCCCAGGCTAAGGCATGTTGGGTCTGTATTGCTGATTTGGTGCCGTTTTCCACTGTTGTCCTCCTTGTCTCTGACCCCCAAAGTTGTTAACATAATTCATATCTTCCCTTGCCCCTTGATTTTCACCTTCTCCGCTCCATGAACACACATTAGACTGATTAACACAGGGTGTACACAACCCTCTATTTGTCGTGTCAACAATATGCACCTGTTTGGTACCCATCTCATCTATCTTCTTTGTCAAAATACTCATCTGAGTCAGAAGTGTGGCCATGTTCTCTGCCTGCGAATTATTTGGGTCAAGAGACACTGAATGCACTATGGGTGCCAGTGTTGTACCTCTAGTCATCCACCCCGAATTCTGGGACATCTTGTCAAGAAGGACTTTGCACTCGGTGAATGTCTTTCTCAAAAATGCACTTCCAGCTGAAGCATCCACATTGGCCTTTAGATTGTCAGCTAATCCCATGTAGAATCTCTGGCCAAGCATCTGGTCTGGAATGCCATGGTGAGGACACTTCACCAGCATCCCTTTAAATCTTTCCCAAGATTCTTGCAAGGTCTCAGTCGGCTGCTGCTTGTACTACAATATTTCATCAATCTGCCTTGCAGTCTTGTTGGGTGGGTAGAACTTATTCAAAAACTGCTTTACTAATTCCTCCCAGGTGACAATGGAATTGATTGGGAGCGAATTCAGTCAAGTCTGAGCTTCCCCAGTCATAGAGAACGGGAACAGTAATAGCTTGATAGCTTTTGTGGTCACATTTGGCTGCCTTTGAGTCACACAAATTGACAGAAATTTTTTCAAATGTTGCTGAGGGTCTTCAATATGTGACCCGGAGAACAATCCCTTATTCTGCAGTAGATGCAGCATGTTGTTGGTGATCTGGAATGTCTCCGCTTGTATCGCGGGTATAGCTATGGCAGTTGCCAGGTTGTCCGCTGTGGGTTGAGCCCAATCATAAAGTTCAGCTTCTGGCACAAGAGGTGCCACCACTCTGACATTTGGGTCAGCTTGCTCATCCCTGATGTTTTCGTTGACGTTCTCTACGTCACCCATGTCAAAGTCAAGCTGATATGGTTGTTGTGATTGTTGGATCCTCCTGTTCGCACGGTTTAATGCCCTGAATGTTTCTCAGGGTCTAAAAGTCCTTCAAGCAGTTCTCTAGTCCTCGAAGAATTTCTAGGCATACACCTGAATTCCACAAGAGTTCAAACGTTAGAATTTCTATGAAAATTGTTTAACACCTTAGAAATTTGATTTGAACTAATAATTTTTAACACTACTTCTAAGTTGTAATAAATAACACTATTAGTTCCCCGGTAACGACGCCAAAATTTTATAATGCCCAACTATGCCTTTTAAAGGACAAAGCGATCGCTGCAAATATAATCCGGTTTTAAGTCCGGAATCGAAATCCTCAGGGAACTAACTTATCTATTACACTTTGCGGCAATGTTATTATCAACTCAATCAATTTCTAGATGCAAGATTTTTGATCAATAAAGACTGGGTTCTTTTGTTTAACTACTTCAACTACTATTAAAAACAACAATAAGCTAAAACAAAGATAATTCAATGGTAAAAAAGTCTAGGGCAGTGATTTCCCCAATTGCTAGTTTAGGTCTTGACTCTTCCGCTATAATCTCGCCGTAATACTCTATGAGGATTAAGAGTTATGGGCTATCGTAATTATCTCTCGATCAACTACAATAATTTACTAGAGCACTCTCTCGAACTACTCTAGCTGACAATAGTTATGCAACTACAAATTCTCCCACCAAAGTTTTGTTATCTTTAAACCCACTCTTAAATTCAAGTAATGAATCTCTTCAATTACTCAAAAGTGGTGTTGTTCAACAACTATCTAACCTAATATTCTTTCTCAAGCAATATAAGGTAATTAGAAATGATTAATCAAGGGCCCATTCAATTAATCACCATAAAAAACGTAGTTGAACAATCATATCGTAAATCTGACTCGATTATAACAACTTGAGTCAAAACTTCAACCAACAATTGGTTCCATCAACCCTAGATAAGTATTTAGCTACTCATAACAAAATAAGAGAGAACTACTAAATGGTTCATAATGTAAAATTGCAATAATTAAAAGGAGATAGAAAACCTCTAATGTTTGGTTGAACTTCTCACACTTGTTCTTCCTCCAAAAGTAGTCTAAAATTAGCTTCCCCCTCAGTTGGGCGAGTTTCTAAAGCTTATAAAGGTTTTACAAAAGTTTTTCCGAAATTACAGTTTGGTCCACAACTTCCAGCGGAGTGAACAGTTCACCGCGGTCGACCGCGGTGAACGCTGAGCTTTCTGCCTCCCTTCATTAATTTGTCGTGGTTCGCCGCGGTGCCACTACGGTCGCGGTGGCCTTCTTGCCCAGACCATTTATGCCTCTTTGTGTTCGGGTACTTCTCGAGTGGGCGTTTTTCTTCACATTATTGCCTCCAAAACACTCCATGTTGCTTCCTCTCATATAATATTCCCTGCTAAACAAAAGAACACTATTTAGAGCATTTTGTTGGCAATTTATCTATAAAACAACAACAAAGTATGGTCATATTAAGGTGTAAATATCAACTATATAGCCTACTATCACTTGTTTCAATCTTCAGAACGTTCAAAACAACATCAAAACACCTGTTTTTTATCGGATTCAAGCCTAAGAATTCCAAAACTCTAAAAACACACTTTCAATCAAAAAGTCTATCAAACCTCGTCCGAATGACCTGAAATTTTGCACACATGTCACATTCAACACTACAGAGCTACTCCAACTTCCGGAATTCCTTTCCAAACCTCGGATCAAAATCTCGCTGTCGGACCGGAAACTTTAAAAATTCAACTTTCGGCATTTCAAACCTAAATTTGCTACGGACATCCAAAACACAATCCGAACACGCCCCTTAGCCCGAAATCATCCAACTGAGCTAAGGAACCATCAGATTTCCATTCCGAGGCCGTCTTCACACTGTTCCGACTACGGTCAACTCTCTAACACCTAAACTCTCATTTAGGGACTAAGTGTCCCAAAACTCTCCGAAACTCAAAACCGAACATCCCGGCAAATCAAAATAGCAGAAATAAACTTGAAAAAACAGTTAATAGGGGATCGGGGCATAAATTCTTAAGACGACCGGCCGGGTCGTCACTATTAAAGGCACTAATCATGAAATTAAAATATATAACGAAGAAAACAAAATGAACAAATATACCTGAACAATGAAAAAAACTCAACTTCGTGCTGATAATTAACGTGTTAAAAATGTAGCTCAAAGCAACAATATAATACAACAAGAAAAGTAAAATAAGAGAAGAAGATATAACTTTCTTATCATCAAATGTTCAAGTGTATTCCATCTCACATTTCATACCTCTATTTATACTATTACATATGAAGATTACAAAATGATTGTCTTAAACATGACATTAAAAATTGATATCATGGGGGAAGATCATGGGGAGAGGTTATGAAGATATGGGAGTTACAATCATAATACTGATGAGTAGTGGGAAGTTATTCACATCATGAGTGAAAATAGTGAGAGTAGTAGACATCCACATTAACTATAGGTTTTACAACATAGTAATAATAATAATAATAATAATAATAATAATAATAATAATAATAATAATAATAATAATAATAATAATAATAATGAAATGTCGCACTCGCCATCGTGAGTTAAACTTCGTTGTACCCTTGAGCAGTGTAGTACTGTAGTTTGACAAAAAGATTACGTTAAAGTTAAACTATTCCTAAATCCTAACCGTATATATGCAAGTTTGGACTAGGGGTGTTCATAAAAATCCGAAAAATCGAACTAAACCAAAAATCAAACTAAACCGATCAAAAAAAATGATACTTTTTGGTTTGGTTGGTTTTGGTTTTGAAATTTAAAAACCGATCAAATTTGGTTAGGTTTTGGTTTTAATAAAAAAAACGAACCAAACCGAATATACGAGTAGCTATTTTAAATTCATTATTACACCTATATATATGTATACTTTTATACAAAGTTTCAACATTTTTATAGTATATGTTAATCGTTCGCACTTTTAGTACAGTTCTTTACCTTTACATTCTAGTTTGATTGGTAGTTTTCTTTTGTTAAGTGTAAGAATCTATTAAAAATAATATATTTTTAATTGAGTTCTTAAATTATTCATCACTATTTGATTCAATTATCATCAATATATCTTGGTAAATAATAGATTTCTCAAAATATAATTGATTTGATAGTGTTACGTTAAAAATGTGGTCGCCGAAATATGTGTTTGGTAGTGTATGTCTTATATTTTAAAAAAAACCAACAAATAACCGGAAAAACCAACATAAACCGAATCGAGAAAAAACCGACTTAA